TTGGTGTCTACTCTGTGGAGACAGATGACTCTTCAGTGGCCAAGATTGCCTACCCGCTCGTGGAATTTCGCCTCCCCAAGAAAGCCAATGTTGAAATCGACGAATGATCCCTGGGGAAGCTGGATAATCTCGCTTGCCGAATGATTAACATGAGTCGAATAGGCAAGATTTGCGCACCAGTGAGAACCAGCTCTGGATGCATATCTGACATAGCAGCCATGACAATGTGCCTATTCCATTTGGACTGGAATGCGAATTAAACAACCTCCATCTCTACCTCATCTCCCTTGGTCATCAGACTTGCTTTCCAGAAAAAGTTCGGGATTAGCCCTGAGTTTGGCCCTTCGACTTTTTGAAACGTTCCTACGCTTATGTATCAATGCTCATTGTTGGGCGTTTTGGAACATTTTTTTCAATGGTCTCTCTCTCTCTCCTCTCTCTCCTCTCTCTCTCTCTCGTCTATCCTCCTCGCTTCTCCTCTTCCCTCTCTCTCTCTCTCTCTCTCTCTTCTCCTCTATCTTCGTACCTATCTCTCTCCGCTCTCTCTCTCTCTCGTACTCCTCCTGAGCGTAGGTCTTCGTGAGCGTAGGTTTCGTGGGCGTAGGTTCAGCAAGTGTAGGTCTTTTGAGCGTAGGTCCAGCAAGTGCAGGTCTTCTGAGCGTAGGTCCAGCGAGCGTAGGCCTAGCGAGCTTAGACCTCGTGAGCGTAGGTCCAGTGAGTGTAGGTCTGCTGGGGGTAGGTCTTCTGGGTTCTCCCCACGCGCGTCACTCAGACGGTGAGAGGCACGACTCTGTGAGAAAGTGTTGGGGATGGGAGCTACTCAGATAGAGGAAGGGGGGGGGGAGCATTTTCCGTGGTCATGAAAGGTTTTATTGCTTGTTCAGCCGATGTTTATGTCGTTTTGGGATGGGGAACATGGTCAAAATTGGCTTTAGGTCTATTAGTGGGCTTACAGTAAAAACAGATACGTCGTCTTGGTATTTCACACAACCAAATACCCTGCGTTGATCAGTAAGATTGGGAGCATCCTGTGTACAAACAGCTGCTGGATGTTTGCAGCAATCGATTACCGTGTCAGACAGGACCGGGCTGTGGTTAAATTTTCCACGAGGCGCGTTCTACAACGACGGTCTCCAGAGCAGGCACCGGTCTCGTCTGTGTTCTTACTTCCTGACGGTCCGCTCGGTGAATTGTAGGAGCGCTGAGTCGGGGTGGTGCTTTCGGACCAGAACCGCGCTCCTCTCCCGTATCGGTCCGTGTGAAGCTGAGCTAAGGTTGACCTCACACCGCCGCTCATCAGAACCGCGCTCCTCTCTCGTATCGGTCGGTGTGAAGCTGAGCTAAGGTCGACCTCACACTGCCGCTCATCAGAACCGCGCTCCTCTTTCGTATCGGTCGGTGTGAAGCTGAGCTAAGGTTGACCTCACACTGCCGCTCATCAGAACCGCGCTCATCTCTCGTATCGGTCGGTTTGAAGCTGAGTTAAGGTTGACCTCATGCTGCCGCTCATCAGAACCGCGCTTCTCCCCCGTATCGGTCGGTTTGAAGCCGAGCTAAGGTTGACCTCACACTGCCGCTCATCAGAACCGCGCTCCTCTCCCGTATCGGTCGGTTTGAAGCTGAGCTAAGGTTGACCTCACACTGCCGCTCATCAGAACCGCGCTCCTCTCCCGTATCGGTCGGTTTGAAGCTGAGCTAAGGTTGACCTCACACCGCCGCTCATCAGAACCGCGCTCCTTTCCCGTATCGGTCGGTTTGAAGCTGAGCTAAGGTTGACCTCACACCGCCGCTCATCAGAACCGCGCTCCTCTCTCGTATCGGTCGGTTTGAAGCTGAGCTAAGGTTGACCTCACGCTGCCGCTCATGAGAACCGCGCTCATCTCTCGTATCGGTCGGTTTGAAGCTGAGCTAAGGTTGACCTCACACTGCCGCTCATCAGAACCGCGCTCCTCTCTCGTATCGGTCGGTTTAAGCTGAGCTAAGGTTGACCTCACACCGCCGCTCATCAGAACCGCGCTCCTCTCGTATCGGTCGGTTTGAAGCCGAGCTAAGGTTGACCTCACACGCTGCCGCTCATCAGAACCGCGCTCATCTCTCGTATCGGTCGGTTTGAAGCTGAGCTAAGGTTGACCTCACACTGCCGCTCATCAGAACCGCGCTCCTCTCTCGTATTAGTCGGTTTGAAGCTGAGCCTAAGGTTGACCTCACACTGCCGCTCGTCAGAACCGCGCTCCTCTCTCGTATCGGTCGGTTTGAAGCTGAGCTAAGGTTGACCTCACGCTGCCGCTCATGAGAACCGCGCTCATCTCTCGTATCAGGTCGGTTTGAAGCTGAGCTAAGGTGGATCTCGCACTGCCGCTCACCAGAACCGCGCTCCTCTCCCGTATCGGTCGGTCTGAAGCTGAGTCAAGGTTGACCTCACACTGCCGCTCATTAGAACGAACCTGAAACTACGCGTGCTGCAGCCCGGTGTGGGCCGACCTGCTCAGACATTGCGGTAAGTCCATGTAACAATCGGAGCGCGCTCTTAACGTCCAGTGAGCTTTCTCTTCCAAAGCCCATGAGATGCGATCACGGCTCCGGCGAGGCAGAGGAGCGCGCGACGGGGTCCGTAGCCTCCGCCGCAATACCTACGGCTGAGCCCTATCACGGCGAGTACGCGGCGCGGGGCCGGCACGCGACGTCTGGCCACACAAGTCTTACGGCTTCGCAGGTGCTCGATGGCCCCGGCGGGGGCGTCGGTTGTCACACAGGTCTATACTCTCACATGTGCCGGTGGCGGCTTCGGTGGGACGCGGGAAACGTGTTGAGGGTCATGGTGTCCCTTGACATAACGCCAGCCCCGTTCAGCTCTCCGTGCCCAACACATTTCAGGGAGGGCCTGCGGACGGCTGCAGAGTTCAGTGGCTTATAGAAGCACTTCCAGTTGCCATCAAAGTCGAATTCAGGGCCGCTATCAGGCTCAGCCTAGGTCGTCTCCCACGCACAGCTAGAACCGTCAATACGCACGTTACGCACACGTGCATGTATATGAGTTGTGTACTGGAGTCAGGGCCGGGCTCAAGTTCTCCGAATTCGGAGTAGTGGAGTTGAAACAGAAGTACACCATCTGAGCGCGTGATTCTGCTGATTGGGGAAGTCCAGTGCACTGAAGACCACAACCACCACCGCCTTAGCCTCGGAGCAAGGCCATCTGTTTGGAAAGGGATGAATGTTACCGTCGTTATCGACGCGCCGAGTGCCCACGCGAATGCCGGGCTTCCGCCCCCCCCCCCCCCCCCACGCTCGAACTGGTGGGGACAAAGCACACAGTCAGCGGCGAACACACTCGGTGAATAGTTCGCCGCTGCAACCCTTCTGGGCCTATGGAGACGGCATTGGCGAGGATGGGTTACCTGGATTGCTGCCGAGGATGGCTTAGCTGGATTGCTGCCGAGGATGGCTTAGCTGGGATTGCTGCCGCTCCGACTAATGCTATTTCGTATGCAAAAATCAATACCGCGTCTGTTTTGCACTCCGCTACCGTCCAGTTGCGTTGAATGCCAAGAACCGAAGCTGCTCGTTTAGTAAGTTGCATCACCAAAGCACCAGTGTCAGCCTTTTGCGGAAGGCCAACGTTAATCACCCGAACTCCCCTTGCCTCGCCCTGCCCCTGTTCCTGCTCCAGACTGGTCTGCTGAGCCAGGACCGTTATGGGTACGCCGCACAGTGAAAGGCAGTCGCCGCCAGACAGGCTAGCTTTGCCTTCCTTTGGTGTGTTCTTGGACTTTGCGGCACTGGCTCAGGATGTATTGTTTTTGGACGGTAGGATTAAAGGGCGCCAGTGCAAGGCATGCGCTTCCGGCACGTCACATGTTCGGAGCCACGTCAGCGGGGATCTGAGCTGTAGAGCAGCCCCGGGCTGGCACCGTCACTCAGCAGCAGAAGTGAAGAGGAGGGAGGGGAAAGGGGACTCGGGTGGGGTCGACCAGTGATGCGTGGAGTTCCCCGAAGGCAGGTCCGAGTGGCAGGCGGCCAAATCCAGCCTGACACCGGTGCACCGCGCGCGCCGACGCAGACGCAATCGACTGCGCCGGTCTGGAACTGTGTACCAAGAAACCTCGTCAGGGAAAACAAGTGATCGGGCACGGCAGGCGGGCTGTCGCGTCTCTTCTCCCCCTCCCCCCCCCCGCGGCTTCGGTGGCGGGTGGCAGCTGGGCGGCGCCCCGGGCAGCTCTGGGCGGCGCTCTGAGGCTCCGCGCCCGTCCCACCGGCTCCGGCCATGGTCACGGGGCGACATTCCTGTCCGGTTGCGCCGCGGAACGCCGCATTGTCGCCGCCAGGTCTGCCAGACAGCTGTGATCACGCGGAGTCTGTTGATGTTGACGCAATGACCTGCTTCCTCGCGGTCGGGTATTTCGTCATGTGTGTGTACAGTGATGGAGCGGTGGGGCGTACTGCGGCCATTTGGTGCACCTTGGCATGTGTCTTCGGGGCAGCTTGCCATTTCGTCTCATTTCAAAGGGAGGAGAATTGTGACCCTCTGCATGGGTGTAGCCCCTGGGGAGGCTGAGCTGCGTGTCCCTTCAATTTTCCCCTCTAATTTGGCATGTTTAGAATAAATGATTATCCCGTTTTCCAACCTGTAACGCCATTTCTAATTCAGGCTATTCCGTCAAAATACTACTAGACCCCTTCACCCATCTTGACTTGTCCCCAAAATCTCAGAGACGCGGTCAGACCGCTGCCCCCTGGTAGGTACACTTTGCATGCGCCTCTGACTGTGCGCACTACCCCCACCTCACCACCGCTCCGGCCGCGCGCTGCCGGCGTTTCCTGGGTGGGGACGGCGAGAGCCTATCGGGGAATATCCCAGCCCCCCGCGGCCTACCCAGTGACGCCACAGCCAGACCAGCGGAAAGACTCCGGCGCTCCGGCCGCTGACCAATCAGAAGCGCCCGGCGGCTGACGTCACGGCTCCGACGAATGGGGGAGCGCTGACTCACTCGGATAGAGACGGGCACGCGGCGGCGGCGGGCGCGGGGGGAGCCGCTGGAGTTGGTCAGAGGCCCGTGGACGCCGCTGGGACGCTGTCGGTGCATGTGAGCCGCAGCAGACGCGGTCCGTCCGCAAGCAGGGGACTATGACCGAGGCAGCGAGCCTAGACCCGTTGTGCTGGGTCGCCATCGTATCCGTCACGATGAACGCCATTGGCGCCAGCGCCTGGCTGCTGACGTCACTGCGCGCCTGGAGCCGCGGTCGGGACACGGCCGCCGCCGACGCCGCCCGGGCCACGTGCGTTGCGTGCACGGCGGACAACAGGATGTTCAGGTGAGGCACTGAGACGCGTCACGGGCGAGGTGGAGCGTCTCCGGGACTTACTAGCCAGCCCCGGTGCGTGGGGAAGGGCGGCGGCCTCTGTTCTCGCAGGACTTCGGCATCGGACGTGCTGGGAAATAGGCTGGGCGACCATGTGCAGCGCTCTGCTTGTGCAGGGCTCTGGTTGTGCGCAGCAAGCGCTTGGGTCAGGTGATTCGCAAAATACTCCATGAATCGGTGGGAGGTCCATGTTGCCAATTTGTCAGCGGCACAATTTGTGGGCGAAAATTGAACGTGCCGCGAGGGGGAGGGGGCAGAGAGGTCAAGAGTGTATTTTGTTCCCTCAAAATTTCTGGGAGGCCCCTCTTTCTCAACTGAAGGTATTGTATCTACCCTCAGGTTACCAAAATGGAGATCAAAGAGGCCCCATAGCTGAGCTAGAGAGTAATGAATCTGGTTCGGAAGACCCTTTTTTACACAAGAAGTCCCGTTTGCTAGATTATGAGGGCATTTTTATTATCAATGTACCCCATGCTCTAGTTACAGAGCCTCAAGGTTCTGGTAAGGAGGCTCCTTTGCCGGCGCGGAATGCCCCCGTTACGAACTGCGAGGCCCCTGGCCCGCGTTACGAGAAACACTACGTTCAGGAGGCCCTTGTCTGGAACAGCATCCTTTCATGCGTCCGCTGGCCGCGGTTCTGAGTCAGGAACCGGGGCTGCCCCGTTTTGTAATAACAAGGCCGTTAAAGAGGCCTAGGGATGATCCAGGCAGCTAGATTTGAAGGCTCCTTTGTGAATCGATGGCGTCCTTTTCTGGTTTGGGAGGCCGTTCGCTGATCATCATTAGACCCTTGTAGGGAGCAAGATGTCCTTGAATAGGATAGCAAAACCTTTCGCTGCATAATCAGAAGGTTCCCATCCCGTATTTTTCAATTGTTGGTATTTATTTACTTAGAAATGATGCGTGAACGATGTGATAAGGGACACTTGCCCTTGGTGCCTTAACCCTTGAACACTACAATGCCCAGCAGGCGGCCGTCCGTTAACACGCGCCCGGGTGGCCGGCCGAATACCCTTCGCTCGGTTGGAGGTCAGTTTGCCTGCCCCCTGAGATCTCAAAAACTATTCTAGCTAGAGACACCAAATTCGCGAGGTACCTTGACGTAAACTCTTTTTGTCAAAATTTTAATTTCCTGGGTCATGATCTTTACATTACTTAATTCGAAATGAGCACCAGAAACCACCCAATGAAAGCAAGCTTTCGACTAAAAAAGCAGGTTAGTTTTGATCTCGATCTGATTTTCATGCCTCAACCTAGGTCATTGTAGTTTGTCGTAATTCTGAAGTCATTTGGCTCATTGCTTAAGAAAAAATACTTCTGATAGATATGGCTTCGTCCAACGCTCCGTTGTTGTATCACACGGAATGAATCCCTAGAAATGCCCTTCGCTGAAGCTGTGGCCTAACTTTGACCTGCCATAGGTCAGCAACCTTACAAGGTACATCTCATTTTTAATTTCATCCTTTGAAATATCTGCTATTTAATTCTCTTCAGCTATGCAAAGTTAAGTGGAGCTTCGCTGCGCCGTTCGGCAATCATTCTGGAAAAACCTTCAGGGCGCCAATTTGCCTCCCCCCCCCACCTGAGTGCGTGTTAAGAGGGCTCGTGAAAAATCCTGCCCTCTCTCTCCAAATCAAAATTTATGCCGCCGCCCCGGCCACGGGTGAACGGATCGGAAGGCACACGCTCTAACCAAAAGTGAGCTGTCGAGACTGACGGAAATGAGGGGTACCGGTAGTGTGGTGGTTAACGCGTCTGCGTTAAGCACTGCGTGTCTGGGAAACCGGAGGTACGGGGTTCGACTCCCAGCTGTGCCCGCCCTTCCCGCCAGGGTGAGAGGCAAGGGACGCCACATAGCCTCAGCAGCTGAGTGCGTCGTAAAGCCCCAACGACACACACTGACGGAAATGAGAAACAACGCCGGGGATGGTCGGCTGCCCCCCCCCCCCCCCTCCTGCTTCCGTCGTCTATGCTTACGTCATGTGCATTTGCGTCAGGCAGATATTGATAACTCGACAGCCAGTATTCCAGCCGCTAACGAGAACTCGTGTGCTCATCATTTTCTTTAGCAACGCACAGTGTATTTCTTTCCAGCCATAACTCACATCCCAAGACTGTCATTGCATCCCCTAACAATACTATATACATACATATATATATATATATATATATATATATAATATATATATATATATATGTAGTTAAATATACATATATATGTATATGTATGCATATGCATACCTTAAACATTTACAGGCCGAGGTCACGGCTGCTTACCCCCACCAGCAGACTTAAGTTTCTACCCCGACTTAAGTGGTTTACCTACCCCGTGTACAGACACCCGAAAGCAAGCGAAACACCGGCATCAGACAAAGAGAGAGCCGGATGCATCTGCACGCTGCTCTGGCCGCGGCACCAGCCATGCTCGGTGCTGTGCGATCGCGCTGGCCGGCCGGCCGGCCAGCCAGCCAGCTAGCCAGCCAGCCAGCCAGCGGTCGGGAGATCCCCGGGATCCCCAGTCGGTCCGGGAATGCGACCGCAGGCCGAACAAAACATCGACCGGCGCGAGGCTCGCTGCCCCTCCCCCCCCCCCCCCCTCTGCGCCTCGGTGCGGCGTCCGTCAGGGCTGCCAGGGACGGCCCCGTTCCGGAGAAACGCCTGCAAGGCGCTCATGGTCAGTCGAAGCGAAGACAGCGGCGACAACTGCTCAGAAATTTAAGTGTGTTTATGCCACTTGACGGATGGCAGTGATCGTGTCCATTTCTGCCTTTCCAGATTGTTGTAACTGGGTGGTGAATTAAGACACATGCATGCTGCTGTCGAGGTTTCGTTAGAGAGGGGGAGCAGAAAGTACCAAGCAACGGCGAATTTACGACATTTGCGGATTGCGGTTCGGTTGCACGAATTGCGAATTGCTACCGGGCTTTCCGTGCGCAAGGGCCTCCAGAGTATCGAAAAATTCAAATCTTCCGGAAAGAGCCGGGTCGTTGAAAGTGCACGTGTCTCTCGTTGCAGATGTTGTCACGTGACACTGCGGTTGCAGCAGCCGCCGGCCGCAGTCGGCGCGGGCCAGCCGCGGCCCCATCACGGATTGTTTGCTGTCGAGCAAAGGCGGTGTTCCCCCCGGCCCCGGAGATCTGTTTGAACTCGCCCCTGCAGGACATTGGCGTGCCGGTCACCGCCTCCGCCACGGCACCGAACGACCATGGACGAAGCACGTGGTTGAGGCCTCTCCCGTGCCGGCGCGCCCGCCTCCGGTCACGTGACAAACGGGGAAGCACCGTCGCGAGCCCGCGGCGTCAGGCGGCTTTTACCGTGGCCATGACATGGTAGATGATAAACAGTCACTCCTTCGCCGGGGCGAAGCGAGCGCAAGTTGGTCAGAGGGTCCATGGTTTCATCTAGAGTCCCCCAAATCTTTTCATATCGGGTTTACGGTCGTCATTTTTACAGTGGCCCCACTTCAAAGCAGCAAAGGTGTCTTTGTCGTTCGCTTGGCCCGACTCACGTCGGGAGGCCTTTGGTCTGGGAGCTTGCTTCTTGCCTGCCCACTTCCCAAGTCCTCACCTAGGTTCCAGTGGAGCTGGGGAAAAACGACGCTTGAACGTTGCACTTTCTATAACCGCCGCTTCCCCCCCCCCCCCTTGCCGAAAACCGTCAGTGGAAGCGGCGCAGTCATGGATCGTAAGGATTCCGAGGGATCGGAGAGGACAGGAAATTACATCATACAAGAACTGAGAGGGAGCACGCTCTGCAGCATTTATAATTGTTATTCCTAGAATCGGGAGAAAATTCACCATTTTAGGTTTACAGCCACAGCCAGTGCAGAACACCTGTAATGTCTTTGTGGGATGAAAGCTCTCGCACCATAAGTCAAGTGTCGATGGAAACTGCACCGTGAAAATATTGACACGTTTGTACGACGCACCTATAGAGCATGTCACGACCAATCGCCATTATCGGAGGCCATGCTAAAGAACGACATCGCCAACAAATTACACCGTGAAGGTCGACGGCGATTATAAGATGACAGAAGAACAACAACCGGGCGCCGCGGCTTTCTATGCGTGTGACGCAAAATTAGCTTTGTGGTGGGCCCAGTCCCAAATGGGCAGCCGGTCATCGTCCTAAGCTGACAAGAGGCCGATCAGGCGCGACCACTGCGAGAGGCGGCGTCTTGAGCAGCGTCTGGCCCACGGGCGCCGTGAGGTGCTGGCGTGCAGCCCCGGGAGACGGCCGCAGCCGAGTCGGGCTGGCCCACGGGCGTCGTGAGGTGCTGACGTGCAGCCCCGGGAGACGGCCGCAGCCGAGTCGGGCTGGCCAACGGGCGCCGTGGGGTGCTGACGTGCAGCCCCAGGAGACGGCCGCAGCCGAGTCGGACTGGCCCACGGGCGCCGTGAGGTGCTGACATGCAGCCCCGGGAGACGGCCGCAGCCGAGTCGGGCTGGCCAACGGGCGCCGTGAGGTGCTGGCGTGCAGCCCCAGGAGACGGCCGCAGCCGAGTCGGGCTGGCCAACGGGCGCCGTGGGGTGCTGACGTGCAGCCCCGGGAGACGGCCGCAGCCGAGTCGGGCTGGCCAACGGGCGCCGTGGGGTGCTGACGTGCAGCCCCGGGAGACGGCCGCAGCCGAGTCGGGCTGGCCGTCTGACGCCGCGACCGCTCCGTCAGCCGGCGGGTGCGGGTCACGTCCGGCGGACGGGGCCGGCCGCCCGAGGTGAGGTGTCTCTGGTGCCACTGGCGCTGGCGCCGCGCCCGTCTCGGCCGGGGCCGCTGGCAGGTGTCGGCCCCTTTCCCGGAGGAGCCGCCGCCCCTAGCTGTGTCGCCATCAACACTGGAAATGATGGCGACTCACAGAGTGGCGCGCACGTGTTCTGCGAACTGCAGCCGATGCGTCAGACGATGCGCCGCGTTAGGGGTCTGATGTCGTCAGCGGGACGGGCCAGTCCTTCCCCTGACCTTGGCTTGACCTTGGCTTGCATACACGTGACAGTGCCCGCGGCTGGACGAAACACCACACTTAATACTGCACGCAATGCGCACGGGCCGGTTGCCGGCGCTTCTCCATCGTGATGTCTAGAATAGCTCGCCATATCGACCGCCGCGCCTGCCGTGGCTCGCCAGGCTGACCGTCGCGCCTGCCGTAGCTCGCCAGGCTGACCGCAGCGCCTACTCTAGCCCGCCGGGTATTGCGTGTGCCAACAGAGTTCGCTGAGATCCAGTCGGTTGCCGGCTCTGGTAATTCTGACGTGTTGAAGCGCGGGGCGGATGGCGGGAGGGCCCAGCCGCGGTGGGCGCGTCACGGCCGGTTATGACGTCATTGCGATGCGTCACGAATGCCCGACGCGAACGCGCAGACCTGTATTGATGACAGGCTGAAGGGTGGGGAGCCGGTGCGGTCTTTGCTACAGAAAAACGGGGTGAAATGTCATGGTCTCTGCTAAGACCCCTTCAATACATGGTATTTGTCTACGTTCACATATCCGAGCGTTAAGTGGATAAAACGATACAGGATCGGTCGGGCGCTACTTACACCAGATAGAGCATTCTTTTCACCTGCATGCAGCAATCTATGCTGATGACAATGTGTACACGGTATCTTCGTTAACACAGCCGTTGCGCCATGGCATTCAGAGGCGTGCAAACGGCGGGAACTGATAAATCCGATCCATTAATTCCCAGTTTTAGGGATTTAACCGAAATCTGTGAAGCGGCCGTGGTGTCCTCCGGCTCCATGTCTTTTGTTGGCCGTTCAGTGAATGTCCTCCAATAGTTTTGCAAATTTTCCGCAAATGTTCACCGCTACCGCTTTTTCGTTGTTGGAGATCATTTTTACGATCAGAGCTTTTCCTTGTTCTGGCAACTACAAAATTGGAGAACGTTCTAATCCATAGCCTATTAAAAGCCGAGCCCCCTGGCTCGGCGTTATTTCCACCGACGCCGCCCCGTTTGGCCGGTTCTGGCCTCGCTGTCGTGTTTATCACGCCATGTGGGCTGCCTGAGCCGGGACTGTCCCGGCTACGTCGCGTTCGCCGCCGCTCCCCAACGCTACGGCTGCCACAGAACAGAGCCGCGGGCCGCCCGGACGCCGGCTACGTGACACACCGCCGGTCCGCGGACCTGTCCGGACGCCGGTCACGTGATACACCGCCCGTCCCGCGGACCTGTCCGGACGCCGGTCACGTGATACATTGCCTGTCCGCGGACCTGTCCGGACGCCGGTCGCGTGACACACCACCCGTCCGCGGACCTGTCCGGACGCTGGCTACGTGACAGGCGTCCGTCCCGCGGACCAGTCCGGGCGCCGGCTACGTGACACACCGCCCGTACCGTGGGCGTGCACCGTTTGGCGGCGACTGCTGAGCGCGGTAAACAGGCGGCACCGCCTTGCAGAATCCGGCCCGGACGCGCTCAAGGTCCGAGCGGCGCACTCACCTGCCTTCGTCCGACCACAGCGCCGTAATCCGTTTAATAGGGCGACTTGAATGCATTGTGGATTGCCCTCCAAGTTAAGCGTGGCACGGTTTGGGGTGTTTTGCTAACTGAAACCTTGTGTAAGGATGGGGTAAAAGTTCTTTATTACTCTGGCGCTCCTCGTTGGACCGATCACGATGATGTCACGAAACGGTGGCAGCGGTGCAGTTTTTGTGACCGGTACCAAGTGAAAGGTCCGCGTTCTTGGGCTGCAGAATTGCGTCATGGTCGAAAAGGCCACAGGAGGTCAAAGGCTAAAGTCGAAAAGACCAAAAGACATCAAAGACCGAGATTAAGGTTAAAATCACTGTACGGCTGATGGGATACCATGCGTGGATTAATTGTTCGGGCTGTCGACCTCGTCTGGTATGTAGTGCGTCATTAGATGTCACTTTCTGCTTTTCTGGGTCGTGGTTTGGAAATCTTCCGGCTACAATGGCCCACTTAGTCATCACCAATGTGCAACACAGGTTATTTTGCCTGTCTGGACCTGGCGCCGCTGTCAGAGCCGCTGTGCCTCCACTGTACTCGACCCTGACCCGACCTGTGCTTTCAGGGTGGTGGATCTGGTACTGGCGGAGCCGCTCCGCCCATAAAGGTGCCCGACGTTGACCTGACCTATGTGCCCTCAGGGTGGTGGACCTGGTCCTGAGTCAGGCGTTGGCGCTGTACGCGCTGGTCATGCTGCTGTGGCTGCCGCTGCTCGAGCACAGTTTCCTGCCCGCGAACGACCTCGTGTCGCGCTACATGGCCCCGGCGCTCTGCGTGGCCATCGGACGCCACGTCTTCTGCTGGTGAGAGACGGGTGGTGCGGGCCAACTGCGGCGCGGCGCGCGGCGGCACACGCGCTCAGCCCGCAGGAGCCCCTGTCAGACGGCATCGTGCTCAGAGGTGGCCAAAGCGGACCCAGTGCCCAGTATTGGACCGGGCCGTGTTCTGAATGACTGTATTTGCCGGATGACCAAGCCTAAACGGAAATGCCAATGCTATGACCGTTACCCCTTGGGTAGTGACCAGCGGGAAGACTGAGAATGTTTTACCTTAGGTAGTGACTGGCCAGCGTGGAAGGCTGGGAATGTTTTAGAATAAGATATAGGTAAAGACATTATATATTTTGCCCTTAGGTGATATTGAGTTAGGGCGGGGCATTCCTTCCCTACATAAATGTGGTGTGAGGGTGAACATGTGTTTTCCATCGACGACTTCCACAGATTGCTTCGTCGGATACGCGGATTTATCGTTTCCTGTGGCTAATGGCCTCGTCAGACAAAACTATGCCATTTCTCCAGGTCTTCCGACCATAGATCGAAACAGGAGAATGTTCTTGTTTATCACCTTGGGGTAGAAGGGAAGGGGAGGGAGCGCATCCCCGTTGCTGCACTTTGGTCTGGCATGGAATACACCTACAGCCAGTGGAAGCAAGTGCCGGTGCCAAGAGAGGCGTTTTGCTTACGTAACGCGCGTGCGGCCGCGCGTCAGCTTTGCCGGACGTGTGAGACCGATGTGTAGAACAGTGACGTAAGCGCCTGCGAGATAGCCAGACACCACGCTCCGAGAAAGCGCAGCCCGCTGTCCGAGGTTCACATGCGCAATGGGAACAGATGTGACTCGGCAGCCCGGGCGTTGTACCCGAAGCTGCTATCACCCGGAAGGGCTGTTCCCCGAGCGACCTGTGGTGTCTGCTGCTATCACCCGGAAGGGCTGTTCCCCGAGCGATATGTGGTGTCTGCTGCTATCACCCGGAAGGGCTGTTCCCCGAGCGATCTGTGGTATCTGCTGCTATCACCCGGAAGGGCTATTCCCCGAGCGATCTGCGGTATCTGGGATGCATGCACGTTACCATGTGATCTAGGTTGCCCGATAGGCTTTTGATAGGTTTTTATGAAAGGTAGATATAGAATATATATACATATTATATATATATATATATATATATATATATATATACGGTTATTAGTTCTGGATATATGGGTCAGGCTTTTGACCACACAAAGGCAACGAGACCTGCGCTCCATATCAAGTTTCGAAGGCAGCTTGGTGCATTTGGTGCTGAGCCCTCGGATGGAGATGTCCCGGTCAACGCCCAGAGATCAGTGCTCTATGTCTAGCCCCCCAGACAAACACCCCTACGAACCTCTCTGGATACGAACGCTTCCACTCTGCCCCGGGAGAACTCTCCCCACCTGGCTCAAGAAAATACTGGCTCTCCGTCCTGAGAGAACACTTCCATTTTTCCCCGAGGCAATACCCCACTCTGCCCCGAGAAAACAATCCCGCTCCGTCCCGAGAGAACACTCCCAGTCTGTCTCGAGAGAACACTCGCCACCAGGCCCGAGAAAACATTCCCACATCTGCCCCGAGAGAACACCCCCGCTCTGTCCCAGAGAGCACCCCCACTCTGCCCTAGAGAACACTCCCACTTTTCCCCGGAGAGCACGCCCACTCTGCTCCAGAGAGCACCCCCACTCTGCCCCGAGAGAACACTCTCCGCCAGGCCCGAGAGAACACCCCCACTTTGCCCCGAGAGAACACTCCCCACCAGGCCCGAAAGAACACTCCCACTCCGCTCCGAAATAACTCTCCCCACCTGGCTACTGCTCCCGGACATTCCCCACCGCACGACCCCAGGACCGGGGGAGATCGTGCAGGGTGTTTGCATTGCCTGCTGGCGGTTATCGCCGACGTCGCTGTCGTGTCCAGGATGCCGGGCCCGGCCTGGAAAGTCCCCGGGCGCGGGGCCTGCCGCCGCGAGCTGGACTATCGCAGCACTCCACCGCGCCGGAACGCACCAACTGTAGCAGTAAAGGCCGGGCCAGTAGTTTATGACCGTCGGCGCCGTCTGTCATGCTTCAGATCGGGGGCGCGGCCCTTGTCTGTGATGATCTCCGATATGGTGTTTGCATGCGGCCAGTCGCGGCCGTTACGGTCAGGGCGTCACGCGCCGATTTTGACACAAGGCGCCTACTGTGACGGACACTCCATAATGGGGACATCAGGATGAGGACATCAGGATTCATCAGGATGACACTATTCTAGCAGGCGGCGGCTGGATCTCCCCCGGCTGACGGAGGTTGCGTTAATGCGTATTTTGTGGTGGAACAGTTGTGGGGCCGGGTGGATGAGCGTCAGTGGGGGCCGTTGGCCGCCCGGATGTCGGGGATAATCAGCCCAATCTGCAAGTCGAAGTTGAGGTTAGAACCGGTATTGCTTCGCACTAAACTGCGGCCTGTCTTACATGCGCGGGAAATAACGTGACCAGTCGCCCACATCAGTGCTCCTTATGTGCTCCTTATCAGTCACCTACGTTATGTGATAGTTGTATCCGTAAAGCTGGTTTTCATCGGGCTACGCACATTACATAGTACTTTGCAAAGAGCTCCTTGTACTTGCCAGTATAGCGACGGCATCATGGTTTTTCTTCTGCAAGCATCCAAGTATGGTTAGCGCGAAGCGGGACGTGTTCAAATGTGTTTGCTCGTCATCTTTTGTCTTTGTGGCTTTCGTACTAACCCTTGGCGAGTGTGACTTTTGGTGATCGTGAAGTGTAGAAATCCGTGCAAGCGCTCAAGGCATGTAAACATGTAATTATCGGAAATCATCGGTTTTCGCACCGTATCCGCCAAACCAACATTTGCTTCACCGCGAGTTACCCTAACGGAATATGCATGTAACCCACCATATTGGTCCAAAACCATTGCCCACAGTTATGCCCGTCTCCGTGGTTTCTGTGACCAGAGCGGTTCTGTCTGTGTCTCTGTGGCCTGGTATCCCGACCTGACCTCACCTCAGGGCCGGTGTTCTGACCTGAGCTGTGCACTGGTGGCCTTGGCTGGCCCGGCCCGCGGTAACCGGACCGGCAGCCCGCCGCTCTAACGCCGCCCCGTCTCCGTCTCTCCGCAGCTGCCGCGGCTGGCGCGCTGGCCGTAGCGCTGTTCCCAGTCTGACGCACGCCGTCTCCGCCGTCTGCCTGGGCCTCTTCCTCTACTCGGGGCGCATGCACGTGCTGGCTGCGCTGGCGCTGACGGTCGAGATCGGTGGCATCTACAGTCACCTGATGGGCCTGGTTGGCGAGCGGCGCGCCGCCCGCCTGCCCAGCTGGGTACCCGGCCTCGGCGTCATCCTGTCCCTCGTCTTCAACGGCCTCGTCTACCTGGTGGTGCTGGCGCTGGCACTGGCGCGCCGCAGCCCAACGAACATGCCGCCGCTCGACGTCAGCCTATTCTTCTTCTTCATCACCTACAGCTTCATCATGAACACGTACTCCATCTACGTAATGATCGCGTCCTTCTTCAACATGATACTGGAGGAGCGCATGGCCAGCACGTTGCGTCTATCGGAGCGGCAGCAGCAGGAGCGGGGGCAGGCCCGGCCCCTGCCCGCCCAGGCCGTGGCAAACATCCGGTCTGCGCTGGCGGCGGCGGCGAACCCGGCGCGCCCAGCGCCGGACGTGGCGCCGGGTCTGGCCGACGTTAAGAGCAGCGACAGCGCCGTGCTGGTCACCAACATGGTGTAGGCCTGCCTTGCGGCCGCCTTCGCTGAAGTGGCGCCGGATCGTCTCGGAAGGGTGCTGCTCCACCGAGACGGACGGACGTCTCTGCCGGTGCTCCTGTCGGCGTGCCAGGCCACCTGGAAACGGATCGACGATCTCTCGCCATGAGCGGCGCCGTGCCAGGCCACCTGGAAACGGATCGACGATCTCTCGCCATGAGCGGCGCCGTGCCAGGCCACCTGGAAACGGATCGACGATCACTCGCCACGAGCGGCGCCGTGCCAGGCCGCCGCGTTTTACGTCTGACTGCGCCGCCGTGTCCGCCGGCTGCGGCCCCTTTACTCAACGCGCGGTGTTCATGTGACGCTCTGTGGAGATTACCGTATTTTCGAGGGAGGACTGTCGTGCCCTAGTCTGTGTATTGTCTGACCCTGAGCTTGACGAATGGTTCGAATGTCGAATGTTCTAGGCTGAGACGCGCGGCCACGCGCGTGGCATTACCACCTGTGGAGTTCGGACTGCTGCTGTGCGTGTCACGTTTTATAGATATTTATTTTCCACTGTGAATACACGTGAACGATTCTGCCCGTGTGAGTCCGAGATGGCCTGTTTTCCGTGAATACCGTTACCAGTACATCGGTGTGCATAAGGCCCGTATATCACGCGTTGCTCGGGTCAGGCGAACGGCACGTTGTTCAGCGTGGATCTTTTCAAAATATACTGTCCACAACACGCAGGTTTTGGTCACGCATTGGAGTTTATTCGAGAGTCGTGAAACTCCCGCTGTTCTGGAAGGTTTCTTATCCTGTTCACGGACTGTTAAAACACATGTGGTTAGATGGTTTCGCTGAGTTCACTACCAGTAGAGATGTCGATTTATTAACGGGCCGTTAAAATGATCAAAAATATCATTCGCGGGGCCAGCCGAATTTACGCAACCGGAGCGTGGAAGCCTGAGACGTGACGTTGTCTGCGCCATGTCCACACCATCTGCGGGAAACCTAGAAGTGAAACACCGCGGCCCGGCTGTGTCCCGTGCTCCGGATTTCGAAGACGCGCCCGGCGCCTACGGCCGCGCCATATGCTGAGAGGGAAGTGGGAGGGGGGGGGGGGGCAGATGTGGGTCGTCCACACCGCCGCCCTGCGCGCTACTCGCCCCGCGCCACGAGGCGGTGTTCCATGTCATCAGCCTCTGCGTCACACGCTCGCGGCAGTCATGGAATGTTTTCCTTTTGCCCGTAGCCCTAAAAGGAGTCACGTACAGTCTGATCCAACAGTATGACCAAGGCTCACGAGACGGTCGGGACCTACGAAGCAAAGACAATATGGCATCACAGTGGAAGTGTTCGGGGTCCACCTTTGAGCCACGCGGCAGCCTCACTACATGCCGGTTCCAGGGTTGATTCGGCATAGTTCCGAACCCAACACCAGATATCCAGGTAACACTGTATTGTGAAATAAGTGGCGTCTGGCGGCACAGCTGCTGTGTTACTGTACAACTGTGTTTGACGGGAAAATGAACAACAATGATAATCAAATTCAAGATAGGAACACAATCTACGAAACCCTTTCTGCGCCGTACTTGAAACGGCGTACAAGCATATAACTCGGCAGAGTACATGGAAAAGCATTGTAATTACACGCCGGACAGGCGAAAATTCACAAAGGCCTCAAAAAACATCCTGTACAACCACTGCTCGCTCACAGGGGCAGGACTCGCGCATAGTGCTCGTTCAATCAACACGCAACAGACCGAGAATGATCCAGTTTGTACGCTTGCAACGGTGACGTCTCGGCGATGCCCTGAAATTCATGGCACGGATGCGGGCGGGCCGCCGCTGGCGCAGCCTCACCCGCCGCTGCCCGCCGCCACCGGCCGGGCGCCGCAGCCTGCCCGACCGGAGCGGCAGCGTCCCGCCGCCACCGCCGCCGGCGCCGCACGGCCGGCTGCCGGGCCGGCGCGGCGCGGCTCAGGTGGTGGCGGCGCCCTCCAGCGCCGCCTCCGGGCTGCCAGTGGCGGCGCGCCGCTGCTGGCGCTTCACCATATCGACCAGCGAGTCGAGCCGCAGCGGCTCCGAGCTCTGCAGCACCATGTTGGCCTCGTCCAGGATCTGGATGGCCTGCTGCGCGTCCGCCGCCGACAGATGGTGTTCGCGTGTCACGTGCGCGCACCAGGCGTCGTGCGAGGGCAGCACCTTCCAGCACCACTTGCACTTCAGCGTCGGGCCGGCCGTGTGGAACGCCTTGATGTGGCGCCGGCGGAAGCCCCACGACGTGTACGACTTCTCGCAGAACGGGCACGGAAACGGGTAGGTGGTGTGTGCTGGAGCAGACGGGACGGAACAGTCAGCGGGTCAGCGGTCAGCAGCGATCAGCCGTCAGCGGCGGCGGCGTCAGCGGTCCGGTCAACGGGTCAGCGGCGAAAACTACGTCGCGGGAGGCGGCCACAGGCCCGCCCGGGCGGCGCCGGCCTCCGCTGTCGGAGACGGGGCGTCACCTTTCAAAAGGGGCAGTCGCTGTCGACGAGTCTGGCAATCACGTCACGGTCGCAGTGCATGAGTGCGGGAATGGTGTCAATGTGTTCGATATTGCACTACACAAACGCCAGGAACACTGCTGCTCTGCCTCACTGATTGCATGACTGGTTCCATGGAGGCGGCGACAACATCGAAAAGGGTCATTTGATCCCGGCATTTGCATACAGATTTGTGGATCTGAAATGCACTTTTCAAATGTCGCGCCGCAAAAAGAAAATGTACGTTGTAAGTTTGTCGGACAACATGACAAAGTAAGGCGTAAGATGACGTCACAACTCACTGATGACGTAGTCAGTGTCGGATGACGACGCCTGTGACGCTGCAGCTGACGTGACGGGCACGTGCTTACTCTTGTCGACGAGTTCTGTCGAGACTGTGACCGAAAACCTCAATTAGCAGGTCAAAAAGCAGCTTTACTTTGACAAAAGCAATGGCCATTAGCCCCGCTTATCCCCGTCCACAGACGCCCTGATATGCTAGTTGTATTACGAACGCATGCTCCATGATTGACGGCGGTGCCAGCCTCGGCGTCCGAGTACCAGCCGGCCTCCGGTACACATTCACTGCCAGGCCGGTACGTCCTGGCGCACTAATCACTCTAACGACCAGCGGTGCCAACCCACCACTCCAAGCTACTAGTATCGCATGAGCAGCACGCGCTACATCGGGCGTGACACGACCAACTACGCAGCAGCCAACATGAAAGCAAAGAGAAATCCGGCCCAGCGCCACACCGCGACACACCAAGCAACGATGACATGCAAACGGTGACAACAATGAATGAACTTGCCCTCGGTGGAAAATCTGAGCACCAAAGTCGACGACATGTGATCAGTACTGTCGCGGTACCGCGTCCGCTGGCAGGGTCGGCCCCGTTGCAGTGAGACGGCGCGCCTCACCTCTGGGTGCCGGGTCGGCGCGGCCGGCCAGCGTCGGCAGGCCTGCCTCCGGACCCGCCTCCGGGCCCACCTCGGGGCCGCTCGCCGGCGGGCTGCCCGGCTCCGTCTTCACGCTGGCCTCGGCCGCCGGCGGCGAGCGCACGCGCGCCTTCTTGGCGGCCGGTGGCGGCGCGGCCGGCTCGGTCACACACTCAGCCCGCTTGGTTGCCAGCCGGGTGTCCAGCAGCGGCGGCGGCGGCGGCGGCGGACGCGGCAGCGGCTGTCGGCAACAGCGGAAGGGCTGCTCGACCATACCGGACTGGCGCTTCCTGCGACCATCGGTAGCTTCCACTCGACTTCGCAAGGGAGGACGCGTGCGCACACAACGCCCCACGTTGTTGCTGTCCAATTTTACATGCAACATCAGCCTCACCGCTTATAACCACGTGTGTCCCAGCCAACTGCCGGCCACTGAGCCCTTACTGCAATCGCAACGCCAAGAAACGGCCTTCTGGGCCCTGTCCTCGTCCTACACTGCGCCCCCACCACGTTCTTCCCGCCGAGTCATCCCGCCACGCCCCGGCCGCGTCCCCATCGCCGTCAGCTCACCACGTTCTCCTTGCCTTCGGGCGGCAACTCCGCCATGTCCTCGAACAGGCCCTTGACGTGGAGCGCCTGGGCGGCGCGCAGGAACTCGGGCATCTGATCGGGCGTCAGGTTCACCTGGCCCTGGTACATGAAGCTGAGGATGCCGCGCACGTGCGCCGCGCGCACCTCGTTCAGCACCACAACTGGGTGGTGACAGGGGGAGTCCTGCCGGCGGTCAGGCGTCAAGTGATGACGCCACGACCATGCCATCATCTTTTGGTGAGATTATATGATAAAAGAGCCTCGGCACTTTTCCAATAACAACTCCATGCTTTCACCTCTGCATAACACACCTTGCCTGCAATAGGGGCTGTAGACAGATGAGGCTCTTAAAAATTAGATAGATGAGTGCTTCACAAAGTGCATGGATAAGGCCCTCATAAATATAACATGCCAAATAACCCATATAAAAACAGTGGATAGCTCCACTGAACAGCGAATCATTCCATTACCTACGAGACAGTCATCCATGAGTCACGCCTGCGGCAAAAAATTAGCAGTGACGCAACAAACAGTGACACAACAAATTAAAAACTGCAACAGCAGTCACAACAAATGCAAATTACAAATACAGCAACATCACAACTTAGGGGACAGTGCTTGTGACCAAACCCAATCAGCATCCTATCTGCATGACAGTGTCAGTACCTTGAGTATCTGCTTGAAGAGCGGGCTGCAGGCAGAGAGAATGAGCCGGTGTGCCTTGATAAGCTGGCCCTCGGCAGCCAGTGTCACGTCCACCAGGTCCTCCTCCGAGCGCAGCAGCTGCAGTGACGACGCCATGTTGCTCTGGAAGCTGTTCCAGCGTAGGCAGAACTGCTGGTCCGCGCGAGCCGCCGACATGACCTACAACCGAGCGGCCCACACCGTTACTGCACTGCCAGACAGCTGAACCAGATCAGCATACCACACTGGTGTATGGGTCTGCAGCAACATGGCAGATGTCAGCACTGCTACATATGTGCCCTGATATTGCAGATTATATACATATATATATATATATATATATATATATATATATATATATATATATATATATATATATATATATATACATATATGTATATATATATATATATATATATGTATATACCCATTATGCATCTTAGAACAACTAAAACATGTGGTCACCATCCTTACCTTTAGCAGTTGGTGGTGGTGATATTTATGCATAATGGAATGTCTGCCCTTTTTGATATCACAAGTCAAGGAACACTGAAGTTCACCACCAAAGCCATAAAAATGATGGGTAGTGGCTGGTAACCTTTTTAAATCACCTGTTCCAATAGGGGAAAGCATTCAACTTTGTTGGCTTTGAATTTTGTGCACTATGTGAGGAGGCCATCAATTTTGCCAAAATCACTTGGAATAATTTGGCTGAGGTGGAGCGTACATTGGAACACTCACCATTTAGAACCACGCAATACCCAAAATCAAAGGAAAGCACAACTTCAAACCACCCTACATACAACCCATAACTACCACACAAATATAAAATGACATTTGGAGGCAAAATTATATTGCAAGGAAACAAAATGTGGTTCTATCAATTCCACAGCAGATATCAGAATACCTTTTGAATCTTGGCAGAGAAATGAGAAACTTGAAGTCAAATCTTAAAAGAGCACTGAAAGAAGATGTAAAACTCTGCTGACGCATTTGATGTTTTACATTTTGCAAAAGGTTTTTCTTCACACTCCACCTTTTCTGCATCTGTAATCTGTATGACTTTCATTGTGGCCTTAGCATGGCCCAACAAGTCACATACAAGGATGTACCCCCAGAGGCAAAATATGTCATGAATACCCCTCCCCCCCCCCCCACACACACACTAAGGAGTCAGAGAGAGTTGGGGATCGAGCTGGTATGAGGCACCTGTGGGGTGCCTAAATTTGTATAGGTAACTATCTAGGGATATTTCATGGTGAAAATGCTGAATAAATCTTTCCGTGGCTCCTTAGGGCATTCAAGACCACCTAAAAATAGTCTAAATCCTTGGGCAAACAAGCAGTGTCATCTCACCATGACCACATATTGGTCTATGGCAAGGAACCTGAATGCAATGATAAGAATGGAATGATTTCAATGTTAACCATTAGGTGTGCTCTGCAAATCAACTAAGAGTATAAATATAAACCAACTAAAAAAACACAAAATAGGAAAACCATTTTTATAGCCCAAGATTCTGTACATCATTCATAAAGACAGCATTCTCAATGAGGTGAACAGGCAAAACAAAAACTTTAAAATTGCCCCAGCTATCAATGACATGCACCAAACTTTCACATCATTAATGCTTCAAGATACATTGAGCAGAGGTGGCACTAAGTCATTCCACATCTTTCTTCCTGGCAGGGATTGCATGAACTGATATGTTGAACCTGACATACATAATTTGTTTTTTATACAGCTTCCAGCCTGGATAGCATGCCATAATCAGAGCAACAAAGGCTTTCCAAACTAAAAGATTTAGCTACAAAGTTGTTATCCTGCTCTTAAAGTTAACTCTGATCACTGTGCCCTAAATATCAATCATCATCACCACCATCAGAGCTTTCTGTGGCTTCATTGGCACAAAATATCCATATTTCATATCCGCACATCGCAAAAACCACAAGACAGAAGCATTGAAACTGTTGAGGGCACCATAACTGGCTATGCTAATGATACACTAACAGACATATGAACAACAATCTTAAGGGTATGAACAAAAAACTGGAACATCCAATGTAACAGTTTGAGTATAAAAGCCTGCATTTATACTTGTCAAGGAAATCCAATGCTCACCAGATCACTGAATGGCTTGACACTGGGAACCGGTGGTTAAAAACGATTACCAACGATCACAAATAATAACACGTCTCAATCAAAACACCATTCGTTTGTATAAATTAGTGTTGTTTGCGATTTAGACAGCTATGGCGCGAGCGATGCGAACAATACTTGTAACATTCCATACGCATCAGCCGACATCAAGCTTTCCCTACCGTTCAAACAACACCCAAACATCAAATTTAAGTTAAAAACGTAAACACTTTAAGCTAATATCACAACCATCGCACAATTCGCTTTACCTTTGAATAATAATCGCCACGGAGAACCAGCGCAACAACCAAAACAATATATCCCCGGTGGTTGCGTCCAGACTCGACACTTCTCAACGAAGATGCCTATATGACGTCATCGAGGTACACCTTAAGCGCTACGACGGACGCACGCGTGGTAAGGATTTGAACGATGGCAAGTATTACATGACAACACGTGTGATTGGTGGAATTGATGGTAAAATCAAGATGAGCGTGGACAAATGCAACCGTACAAATATGTCTAATTTTGAAGGTTATTCCAGAGCCAAGGTGGTAACATGGGACCCAGGAAGACCAATTTGAGGACGATGTGCCGCGTTTTGCATGTCCGTGAAGCTGATGATTTATTCAGTGATCCATGCAGTAACGAGCCCCGATTTCCCTCAAAACACGCGATATGGTATATGATCGCAGGAGAACATAGAAAATGACGTTTGCTTTTGCAACATCCTGTGACCTTCATGATCAAAAGCAAGGTCAAAGGACTCACTGTCACTAAATAGTTCTCGGCCAATTTTAAATTTGCAAGATCAGAATATTTACAAACACAAGAACTAGCGTCCCCCGAAATGTCCTGACCTCTCAAGGCTGTCCGTCAAGGTCAAACTCAGGCTTGAATACGGGGAGCTCCATATAACCAAAAAGTTACCGGCCGATTTCCGCTTTTCAAGACTTTTAACTTTTCACTGCGAGGTCAGACATTTTGACGGGCGCTATTAACACTGCGCTAAAGACGCTCTAACGAATCTTCTGATTCTTGGAAAGCTGAAATCGGTCGGTAATTGTTTTGTTGATATGGAACTGCCCGTCCTTTGAGCCTGCATTTGACGCTCAAAGTGTGGCCTTAAGAGGTCATCCACTTTAAGATGGACGCTAATTCTGGCGCTTGTGAACATAGCAATGCTTGAAAAGTTAAAATTGGCAGGTAATTTGTTGGTGATAAAGAGTTCCCGTCCTTGGGCCTTGCTTTTGACCTTGAAGTTCAAATGATATTGCAAAAATACCCAGCCAGCATGTCCAACTGGGAACCATAACGGTCCGAGATCGGCAGTCATAATGGGCCCATCAGGGCTGCCCACTTCGGTCCAATGTGTGTATGTCATGGGCAACAAACTGGGTCCCTCATGGGCAGCCCACCTGGGTCCGTATGGGGCCAAGCTGGGCCCGTACGACACATTTGGCCCACCTGGGCTGCCCAGTTAAAACCCATTGCGGTCCCACGTGGACATGTCATGAGCAGCCAACCGGGTCCCGCATGGGCAGCCCACCTAGAGCCCATATAGAGCTGAGCTGGAAGCCACATGGGGCCCACCTGAGTTGCCCAGTTGGGACTCACGTAAACATGGCTAACAGGGCCCCACATGGGGCCCACCTGGGGCCGCTTGGGGCCTAACTGGGACCCACATGGGCTTACCTGGGCTACCCAGTTGGGACCCATGTTGGCATGTTCAGCTGGGCCCCACATGGGTATGTCTGGCTCGGACCCAGGTAACTAGCCCAGATGAGATCCATATGACTAGCCCGGATGGGACCTTTTGAACCACCCCAGGTGGGCCCCAGTTGGGCCTCACCGGTCTGCCCTTCCAAATTCCATTTGATTGATGGACCGCTGTAATTCCAGGCACGCTGCTTTCATGTCACCAGTAATAAGCTAGGTCAAGGTTTGTTCACCATGCATTTGACCGAAATTGCCTCGGCAACAGCATCATTGCACAAAACATGCACTTTTGTGTTGTCATAACCGATGCGATAATCACTAAACCATTCGAGGATGCTATGCGTTGCCGTTGCCGCTGTTGTCAGCGCGGTGTTTCCTGTCGTTGTCGCAGTCTCTCCCGCCGAAACTAATTTCCTAATACCTATTCTGTTTTGTTGCGGGAGGCACCGCAGCGCGATGTGTTGCGTAGGATGACCCCTGAAAGTGATAATATTCAGACCGCTGCCCCACGGTCTCAGTGTGGATGATCCTTCATGTACAAGATTTTGGTGCTGAAAGAATTGATTTTATGTCAAGTCGTTTACCAAGCTTCGCAATAATGAGAGCAAATATGTCAAATAGCAAAGTAGAGGTGCACCACACATGCACTCTCTCGGAATACTTGTACGGATAAAACTTTACGTGAGGCCAGTTACATGGAGTGCTCGAATGAAGGCCGACTTGAGCTATGCTTCCTGCTATGGTCACAATAATGGCATCAAACCCATAATGATGCCATTTATGTGGGTAATCAAGGGACACGTTTATATTTGATGAAAAGAAGTGGAGTGTTGCATTTTCTTTTCCGAGATGATGCTAACAAGCGTATCGCTGTCTTTTTTAGAAAAGCTGGAGTACAGGAGCTGCCAGCTGTCTATACGGGAACACGATATTGTCTTGATAGATCATTTTTTTTTTAGAGCGGCCGCTTTCTGATCCATTCACTCACCAAAGAGTGGGTCTGGGTCGCTTCAGGCACTCGTTCTTTGGCCCTGCAATGGATGGCCGGCGGCTAATGGCAACAAAAGCAGTCGTCAATGATTAATAGGTGCACTCGTTAAAAGTGTCTGAAATAAAAAATTAAACGGTAAACTCCAGGCAAATACCGCCAGCCCAGTTTAAAAAAGAATGCTGGCATTTCTTTCTTATGTCACGATTCTAAAACTTGGTTTGCTAATGTTTGTCCGTGAAAGTGCTCAGAGAAATACAGCAGATAAAATGGGCTGTCTTTGCCATGTTCATCTCGTAGAATTACAAATAACCGTTACACGGAAATATTCGCTGTAAATTTTGGCAGAATCGTACATGAAGTACGAGCTGAACATTACGAACCCATATGGCACAATACCCATACCCATATTCCAAGCATGATGATTCTGGAGCCGAATCAGTTGTCTTTGATGAAAGACTCAGATTGTTGTGCCAGCTTGCTGGCAGACATAATGCTTCCGGGCGACCAGCAGTAGTCCTCAAGCAGTCCTCCAGAGTAGAGAAGCCACAGTATTTTGAACAGCAGTTCAGAAGTTCAACAGCAGAGCGTTTCTTCAGCTAACCAAGGGCTGGAGTCGATGCCCATCCCTCCCTCATCGAAATCCAGAACACCGAAGCTCATCCTGCCGGAAAAACACGCAAAAAGGGACGTAAAGTAAAAAAACATCAATTACATATCGCATGCATATTGCAAGCAAGCACATCAGGAGAAACAGGCGATGAGATGCCGCAAATGTATTGCTGCACAAGTAATACTAACACACGCTGCACAGAGGTCTCCCGACGCGCCACAGAATGAACTGGTAACCCGGTAACCCATCTCGTGCTTTTGAACTGATCAATAATTCCTCATGCCTATCGCTTTTTTGGCGCAAAGATGCGCGTCCGTGAAGTTGGCTAATTATTCAGCGATTTTTACGGCGATAAGTTCCGATTTCTTTGAAATAACGCCAAATGGACAATTTTGGCACGAGAACACAAGTGACGCCTAATTTGCAATATTATGTGACATATAATCAAAAATATCGACTCATTTTAGACTTGCAAGCATCACTGTATTCACAAGCGGAAGAACTTCTGTCCGCCAACAAGTCCTAACCTCTCGAGTTCACCCCTCAAGGTCAAACTGGTGCTGAATGACGAGGAACTCCATACAGGCGCGCAACCAGTGCCTTGGCAAGGGGGCAGGGCACAGGGTTGACAAAGGGCTCTCTACTAGCGAAATGACCCCTAAAAAACAGAGTCCTAGAATTATCGACTTTGGTTGTAAAGCAGCACCCTATGAGGAGGAATTTTTCACTCCTTTTCCCCATATTTTATGTGAATTTTTCACTCCTGCCTGATAATGTCTGCACATGCCAAAACCCCTATTTCCCTCTCTGAGGGTTTCAGATGTCATCCAAAACCGAGCTCACTTGAAGCCACCAAGCATAAACGAGTCTCCACAGAACCTGGACACCTATGGCTATGTCTTGCCTCACCTACATCTGAATCATGTCTATGTATGCACAGAGCAAGGGCGCCAGGTACCTCCAAGCCCAAGAACCCCAGCGGCTCCAGCCGCTTGCGCGCATTAAGTTTGGTTTGTTTACAAAATGTATCACAATCGGCAGCTGTGTGCCAAATGCAAGGTTTTCACGCATCCGCTATTATTTGGTCTCACAACCACACCACGAAAGCAGAGCCTGGTGCAAATGTCATGCAGCGGGCATGGTGTGACCAGCAATGAGCGTCGTAATTTTTTTTTCTCAATGTCTTCCACAGATATTTCGTACAGTCAAGACACAAGCCTGAGTGAATCTTTTTTACAACTTTGAGGCTGTCCTCTGGACAGATTAAAAGTTAAAGCAACACGAAAAATAGAGATTTCACCTTCATTGTTCCAGTTCAATCACCAGATTTCAGTACTACTTTATATATATATATATATATATATATATATATATATATATATATATATGGTTCAAAAGAATAGCAAAAACAATATAAATGAAAAGCACACCCTCATTAACAAATGGGTCATATCCTACGATTTCTTTAGGGGGATTTTTTCGCTATCAGAGGGCCCTTTGTCAACCCTGTGCCCTGCCCCCTTGCCAAGGCGCTGGTTGCGCGCCTGTATGGAGTTCCTCGTCATTCAGCACCAGTTTGACCTTGAGGGATGAACTCGAGAGGTAAGGACTTGTTGGCGGACAGAAGTTCTTCCGCTTGTGAATACTGTGATGCTTGCAAGTCTAAAATAGGTCGATATTTTTGACTACATGGAGTTCCAAGTCATTTGACATTGCTTTTGGCCTTGAAGGTCACATAATATTGCGAATTAGGCGTCATTTGTTGTGTTCTCGTGCCAAAATTGTCCATTCGACGTTATTCCAGAGAAATCGGAACTTACCGCCGTATAAATCGCTGAATAAAAAGCTAGCTTCACGGACGCGCATTTTTGCGCCAAAGAAGCGCCAGGCATAGGGAATCACTTCTTATCTCGAAAGCACCAGATGGGTAACCGGGTTACCAGCTCGTTCTGTAGATCATGACTGCCGTCCTCCAGGAATTCATGGAACTTTGATACCCCAGTTGGCTTTTAGATAGGATCCCGG